ATATATATCCTTTACAGATTTGTTTTAACGTATTTACAGATTTGCAATGATGCCATTTTGTACAGTTTGTTTACTTGCTGATTCAACTGCTTGTCATCTGAACTGTGTTTGGTGGATGTATAAATAGTTTCCATGAGCTTTTAGCCAAGATTCGTAGCTTTCTTTTGATAGCAAACATGTCCAGGTTCAACTGACAGATCTGAAGTTAAAAGAAGTTAAAAGAAAAAAAAACTGTTTTGCCCCCGGTAACGGGGGCATGGGGCTCAAGAGGTGTCAAATAAACCTTTCATTTCTTTACCTCATCAGCCATGAGGAAGAGACGCTCCTCTTTAGCGAATCGGATCACGTCTTCGATGCACTGCCTGCTCTGGACCTGACCTGCAGCGTGAAACAAACAAGAGCAACGAAGCGTGAGCCGAGTCCAAGTCTGCGTTCATGTGTGCCTCAGTACGAAGAGAGGACCGACCTGTTGGGTTCCCGGGGTTGATGATGCACAGGACTCGAGGTTTGCAGTGCTGTTTCGCTTCATTCAGCGCCCTCCTGAGCTCGGCCACGTTCAGACTCCAGCAGTTCTCCTCGTCCAGGTAGTAACTGATCTGCACGGCGCCGAGGTCCGCCAGGGCTGCCGAGTACAGCGGGTACTGAGGGATGGAGATCATGACTCCCGTACGGTCCCGACCCTCACCGCACACCAGCATCTTCAGGATGGTCTGAGATCAGAGGACGTGGTAAAGGAAGGAACAGAAGAGGAGATGATTAAACRATGCTTTCAGCATTCACACTGATGTTTTTCATAAATCACAACATGCAGCTCAATCAGGAGATGGTAGCTTAACTTTGCAACTTTTATATTTTCTAAAATGATTTTAGCTAGCATTTTGCTTCGTTTAGCTAGCATTTTGCTTTTTTTAGCTAGAGTTTTACTTCTTTCAAATTACATTTTGCTTCTTTAAGCTAATGTTTTACTTCTTTTAGCTAGCATTTTGCATTTTTTAGCTAGCATTTTGCATTTTTTAGCTAGCATTTAGCTTTTTTAAGCTAGTTTTTTTAAACTTCTTTAAGCTAGTTTTTTACTTCTTTTAGATGGTATTTTGCTTTTAGCTAATGTTTTTCTTCTTTTAGATAGCATTTAGCTTCTTTTACATAGTATTTGGCTCCTTTTAGATACTTCTAATGTTTTACTTCTTTTGGAAACAGGCTTTTTATGACGTGTTTGGGCTCTTTAGGCTTTTATTTAGCATTTGCTAGAGTTTTTGCTTCTCTTAGTTAGCATTTTGCTTCAATAAACGCATTTTAATCCTTTTATCTATCACTTTACTTCTTTTAGCTAGTACCTTGCTTTTAGCTAGCATTGAGCTTCTTTAGCTAGCTTTTTGCATTTTTAAATAACAATTAGCTTCTTTTAGCTAGTATTGTGCTTCTTTAAGTTGAAGTTTTACTTCTTTTAGCTCGTTTTACTTACTTTAAATTGCATTTAGCATCTTTTAGCCAAAGTTTTACTTCTTTTAAATAGCATTTATCGTCTTTTAGCTAGCATTTTCCTTCTTTTAGTGTTTCAGCTGCTTCAGCAAATTTAGTGAAGTCATTCAGTCTTTTTCACAGGAAACAGGAAACTAGTTCTCTAGTTTAGCTCTACTGATGCTCGTAGGTCAAAATGACCTGAGTTTTTAGACTTGTGGGACTCGTGTACAGGTTAAACCAGTACAGGAACAGTTTGACTCACAGCTCTGTGTGGAACAGTTTTAGTATCTGTTTGRATCACTGGAACATATCCTGAAGTTATTCAGTTGCATGATTTGATCACAAGAARGTGCCAAAGGTCGGTGGGTGGAGTGATGCACAGATGATCAAAGTACAAGTGAGTTTATAATTAACAAAAGTTCAATAAAGGACAGTTCGAAAAGGAAAATATGTCACTGGTTTGGATTAAAGTAGCAATAAAACAGCGTTAAAAACACTGCTCTGCAGAATGACAACAGGTAACAGGTGTGTGACAGCTACCACGATGGCATCGCTGGCCCCAGTTGAGAGGTAGATGTTGTCGGGGTTGGAGGGGATGCCTCCGTCTCTCCTCTCTATGTACCGGGCCACATCCTGGCGCACGCATTCAATCCCCTGGCTGGCACTGTAGGCCCCTTCAGAACACAAGAGTGAACTCTGACTCAGAACAAACCGCTGCAACAAGACGACACTTTTTCACAACGACARCTATGACTGAGTTAATGATTAGGAAGCTGCTTGTCTGACCTATGCTGTGGCCTCCGCAGGCATCGAGGATTCGCCGCGCTCTCTTCTTGGCGTCGTCCGGAATCTTGTTGTCGTCCAGGAGTTCGGGGTACGAACACAGAGCCAGAACCTGAGAGCCAGGGACGACAGTTATGAAACATAAAGAAATGGTTACAAAATACAGTTTGTTTACAAAATACTTTCCTCTTGCTTCATTACCAGTTCACAAGAGTCGGTGCTGACTGAGACTTTAAAAAAATGTATTTTTAGAGATTAAATGGTGAAATGTGTGTCCAACCTGTCTGAAAAAGGTGATTGGTCTCTGACCCATAGCGTGGGCATCACCTATGTTCGCCTTGATGACTTCTGTGAAGGGTTTCTTCACTCCCTGCACAAAACGAGTTTTGCAAGTTTACTCATACTTCAGCAGATGAGTCAATTTACAGCTTAAAACAAACAAAACATCTGAAAGAAGTGTGTTCCTCTTTACTTCTAGCTTCTAAAATCCACTAATTACTGAAATAAACACGTATCTGTGCGGTGTTCCCCATRTGTCTCACTATGTAAATCAAATCAGAGGACTCAGATCACATGGACTCTGTTTGCCCTCTCCTCCACACATCCTCCCTCGTTAGCCCCTCTCTGTTTTACAAAGACCCTGGTTCAGAGTCTGGAGGGGGGGCCTCACAGAAGCACAATCCCCTCACTGTTTATGGGTGGGGTATTAATCTACTCACGCTGACCCGATCTAATGCTTTGACTGTCTTGTCTCTTCATCTTTTTACTCCTCCACTCATTTTTCATCCTTATTTTACCAGTAAATGATTAAAAAAACGTCAGATTTGGAGCCCATGTGGTCTGAGTGTTGATCCTGACACGCAGCAGCTGTTGCTGTTTCTCACGTGATGTCAAATGGCGGCAGAATGACTCGTGTTATCTCCTGGTGAGCAAAAGGTTTAGAGAGCAAACTGACAACCCTGTGGTTTTCCCTTAATGGTTTGAGCATTTAAAATCAGGAAACAGGACATGCTGCAGAAAGCTTGTTAGTGGATTTAAACTTTGGCAGAAACATGATCTAATCAGAGCAGTTACACGGCTCAGCCTTGACCTCTCGTGTGTACAGATGAGATTAAAGCTGCAAACAAACAAAACAAAACAAAAATCAATGAATGGATTCACCTTCAAAGTAAAAAACACCAAAAACTGAGTCAAACTAGTTTGTGTTTAAGGACTGAAAACAAGAATAAACACGTTATAATTTGATTACAGAGGTTATCAGTTTGGCTTTTAGTTCAACTTTTTGTTTACAAATTCTAACTAACCCGAGGTCTGTTTAGTTTGATCGCATTTTAGTCTTAAACTAATTTATTTTAATCTATTTTCTTACCACAATGCCTTATTTTAATGGAAACAAATGAYCTTATTTGAACTTAGCCACTGATTTATTCTCATCAACATATTGTTTTTGTTACTTTTGGGTTTATAGAGCTGAATTCATGCTTTTACTGTTTGAATAAAAAAAAACAATTTCAGCAAATATTTCTGATGTTTCCTAAATAGGAAAGTTGTGTTTCCTCAGTTCTTTTTGTCGCTCATGACAAAGTCATTGTTGTTTAATTCAATCAGATTATTACACAAAATGTTTGTTTGTAGCTATCAGCTTTGCTTATGTTTAATTTTTACTTCKTGTAAAACACTTCATAAACATTATTGTATTTATAAAGTTTGATTGATAAAGTTAATGTTATTTTCCCCTAAATTAAATCAAAAGAAAACTTGGCCTGAGTRGCCAGAGGGCAAAGTCAAAACCAAGAAAGTAAAGAAAAGAAAACCAAAGAAACATGGAGAAAATTAAAAAAAACTCACAAAAAAATCTGTGAAGTAATGTTACTGTTTGTTATTGTGTATAACATAATTTAAAAAAAATGATTTGGGTTCTCCTTTTTTAGAGAATAAACGTCGAGACGCTAAAAAAAACTTTTTTAGTTAACTTGACCTGTATTAGTGGTAATACTTCTAACCTCGTACTGTAAGTAGATGAYTTAATAAAATTACTTCAATTACATTTTCAAGCCTCAAGCTTTTAATTTATTAAGTCATTATGTAGAAAAAATTCAAGTTCTGAAYTTCCTGGTAAATTTCAATACATTACTATCGCACCTAAACACAATATATATTGTTTTTATAATAATTTTCTTTGTTCATTTTGTAATAATTCAATTAGATCAGCAAGATGTTCAGTTCTTAAATAACAGCCAGGCTTAAAGTCTTTAAGTATAAAGTCAGGTATRTATGAGCTTATTTGAGGTCAGTAAGTGGACGCAGCACGTTTCCCCCCTTTTTTTTAATCTTTATCCTTTTTCCATGCGTGCAACAAGGAGCCTGGTTGTTCTCAGAGCCGGATCGTTCCAGTGCTCTCCTGCTCAGTCAGCACCAGGCACTGGTTACACAATACCAGGCCAAGAACCCCTGTGGGTCACTGAATTAAACAAAAAAAGCCCAAACATTCACCTCACCTTTTCAATAACTGTTCAGTCGGGCTGCTTTAACTCTAAATAATCCAAACYGGGAATAATCTTGGCTAATTTAATAACTCGACTATTTTAAGGTTCTGTAAGAACAAAAAACCTTCTGTAACAAAACACGGCAATCAGAYGACCCAACAAAAAGAAAAGGGAGAGGCAGAGAAACTGTACAAATAGTTCCAGGTGGGTTTTGTTTCCATCATCCCCATCTTTGACACAGAAAAACCCCAGACCTGCCAGAAGCTGAGATCCAAGCCTGAATTAGCTGCAGAGCAGCCAGCGTCAGGGCAGATATAAGGGTCACCATCACAGCAGCGGCACACAGACACTTATAAACACACACATGCAGAAAATCTGCTGAGCCACCAGGAAAAAGAGTCCCAGCCACAGATCTGACAGGAAGCACACGCTCTGATAGCGGTCAGCTGCTGCCACACAAACCCTGCGACCCCCCACCCCCACCCCCAGAAATCACCAGGATTTCACATTTATTATTTAGCTTTGACATCATCCTCTGTTAGAGCGCTGATTCAGGATTCACACAATTGTTTTTGTTTGTTTTGTATGTCTTTTTTTTCCAGCCTAACTACTTTGGATCCTTGGTTTTAGCCGTTCATTTATCAGGATGTTCAGAAGACGACGCGTACCGTGACTTTTGTTTGTTTGGTTTTTTTTGTAGCTTTTATACTTTTCAAAATATTTAACTTTATTTACAAATATTTATTTGTATAAAAATACATTGAAATCTCTTAAATTATTTCCAAATATTCTCCTTTGTTCAGC